ACTCGCGGCTGCCGGCTGCTCCCGCCCAGAGACGCGCAGTGCGGACGGTTCTTCGTGCGCCGCGCAGAGGGGGCGGTGGGTGGGCGGGGCGACGGCACGCTGCGGTGCCCCCAATGAAAAAGTGAGCGCTGCGTGGGCATTGAGGGGGTCGTATTGGGGTGGAGCGAACATATATCTTTTGGGTTTACCTTTTGTTTTGTTTTTGTTTAATGGGGGCGGAAATGCACGCGGCGCGGTGTTGGCGTGCGTGGCCAGCCGTATTTGTCTGCCCGCATCGTTTTCCGTTTTAATTGGTTTTGCTCTTCCGTAAGTATTCTTTTTTTGCTCACTTTGTTTCTGCACGGCGATCGTGCGACTCACCGCGGGCAGGACCGCGGCGCCGTGCCCGGTGTGGCCGCCGTGCTGCTTCCCTCCTGCCTCCTTCGCTGCGTGCGGGCGTGGCTGGTGATGTGCCTCTCTCTCTTTCCTTTCCCTTTCCTTTTCTCTGTGCGTGTGCCTTTGGGTGCCGTCTGCCGCGGGCATGCCGTGCGCCCCGGCGTGCTCGCCTTCTTTTTTGGCGACCGCAGCGGCGTGGTGTTGGGGGCGGGCGGGGGCCTCTTTTTTCTGCGGCTGCGCACGCCGTGGGGATGTTTTGCGTTGCCCCAGCCGCGCGGGGAGGGGCTTGCCGATTTCCCCCGCGTGTTTGTTTGGGTGTCTGCAGCGGCACCGGGGGGTAAAATGCGGAGCCCCAATCGCTGCTGCCCTGCCGCGCGTTGCTGCGGAGCGAACTCGTGCGGCGCGGCGCACTGGCGGTTTGACGGTTGGGCCGACTGCGGGGACTGTGGCGGCTGCGGCAGCCCGTGCCCGGGCTCTGCTGATTTGTTTTTGTGGTGCTCGGCGGCGGATGCATGCGGGCCGCTCGGGGCACGTGTTTGTTTTGTTTGCCCTGCACATTTGTTTGTTGCGTTGCCCGCCACGCGGCGGCGATGCTGGCGCCCCGCACGAGGAGGAGCTCGCAGCTGCCGCCCCGCAGGAAAAGGCGCGGGCCGCGGCAGGCCCCGCCGGTCAGACGCGCGGCTTCCCCGCGGACACCGTCACCCGCACCTTCGCGTGGCTGACCGCACCCTCACGGCGCTGCTCAGCCGTCGCTGTGGGCTTCTCGTGCGGGTGCCGGACTGTCGCCTCCACCGTCCCCCGCATGCGTGTCATGCGCTGCCCCCACTGCCGGGCCCGAACCCATCGCCGCCGTCGTTGCTTTGCTTCTCTCCACACTTATCTTCGCACACACGCACGCAACCGACGCGCACGCGATGCGCCTGTAGTGCCGTGCAGGTGGATGGCCTTTTCGCAGCCTGCGCTGGCAGTGCCGTGTGCGGCTGCTGCTGCGGTTTCCTCGCGGGACGTGGAGAGAAGGGAAGGGAAGGAAAACCGCACAGCACGAGGGGGAGTGCGCTGTGACTAACTCGTTTTCCTCGCGGGAGCCGCCTCATTTGGGTGGTGGCTGCGGGCCCACTTCCCGTGTGCATGTGCGTGTGGGGGCGGCTGCTCTTCGCTGCTCCGTCGTGGA